TTGAATATCATCTTTTACACATCCTTGAGCAATCAATCAAGCAAACTTCAACACTCTTTTCAAGAAAGATTCGCATCAGTTTTTGAGAAGTTCTTTGAAAATCTTTCTTAAGGCAACTTGATTTCTTTTAAAGAAGAAACACTTACAGCAGAATTGCATAAACTGGTTTGAGCATTCTAGTTTCTTCTTTTTCATTTCTTTACATTCTTTTTGTATTGTTTGGTGCCTGGAATTTGGGCATTGGTTTCTCTACAGCTGGAATTTGGTTGTAGAGGTTATTAAGAGCTGGAATTTGGTAATACATAAAACATTTCAGAAAGCAAAATGTTAAATACTTTTAAATATTAAAATTGACTTTATAAAAAATTAGGAAAAAAAATTAATCAAAAAGAGTTCAAAAATGTATTATAATATTTTCAGTTTTAGTTTAATTATATTTTTCATTCTCAAAGTAGAAAAATATATTGTAATATTATTTTAATTTAATAAAATATAATTAAAATTTTTAATACTAAAATTAAAAGATTAAATAATAATAAATTTAATTCTTTAAATTTAGTATTTAGAAACTAAAATTATAGTTTCTCTGTTTTAAAAAATTAAAATAAATATTTAAAAATAAAAATCAAAACTATTATTATGTTAAATTTATTAAAAGTATAATTAAATCTCTATTTTCTTCAATTTTTTAATATAAATTTTTAAAATATAAATTAATTTCAATTGAAATTTTCAATTGAAAAATAAATTCAAGAATATTTGTTATTAAACTTTTCTTAAACAATGTATTGAATAGTTAACATCACTTTAGTCTTAATTTATTACAATTTAAATTTTTAATAAATTTGATTTATTACAATTCATTTTGTTAATATTGAGACCAAAGTTTATTTTTAAAGTATATTTTAAAAATTAAATTATTTTTAAAAACTAAATTACTTTTAAAAAATAAATTGTAAAAAATATACTAAAACAATTAAAGTATATTTATAAAAAAAAATTTAAATATAATAAAAAAATAATATTCATTAGCGACCGATTTCAATTCGGTCGCTATTTTCTCATTAGCGACCGATTTTAATTCGGTCACTATTTCAATTTGTAATTCGGTCGCTAAATCAGTCGCTAAATGATTTTTTTATTTCAGTATGAAATAGCCACCGATTTAGCGACCGAAATTTTGCTACGCAAAAATATTGGTCGCTATTTCGGTCGCTAAATAAAAAAGTGCAAAATAAATCATATTTTGGTCACTAAATCAGTCGCTAATTGCAACCGAATTAAAGTGGTCGCTGAATCGGTCGCTAATTGCGACCGAATTAAAGTGGTCGCTAAATCGGTCGCTAATTGCGACCAAAATTAAATCGGTCGCTAATTGCGACCGAAAAAATTCGGTCGCTAATTTCGGTGGCTAAATGTGTTTTTTCTTGTAGTGTTTCGTTCATTCATTACACTTTGTACATTAAGAATATTATATCGATCTCGATAAGTTAAAGTTTGGACCAGTTGAAAGTAGACGTGTACAGATCACCTTCACGTAATTTTTCATGCTACACATTTCATGATGAATCCATGTCATTTGGTTATGTCAGGATGAGTAATCATTGTTGGTTTTAGTTGCGATGATACAATGAAAAGCTGATTTGGTTCTATATCCTGATATGATTAATGGACAGGACTTTTGGAATATGCTAAAGGAATATAATGACAATTTTGAGCTCATAAAGTCTAACACATTTGTGAGGTTGTAAGGACATATATATTTGTGACCAGTGAGAAATTGTTGGTAAAATTTGAGTCATGTATATATATGATACATATTTAAATGTGTTAGGGTCATTATTTATTAAGCCAAATAATAAAGTGATCTGACTAAATTAAAGTTTTGGTTAAATGCATATGTCATGAAAATAAAATTGTGTAGATACCATAGAGTAATTTCTAATTTGATGAGGGGTCAAATTGGAAATACTAAAACTTAAGTAATTAACCTAATTCTGGTTATATAAAGGGTCATGGTTTCCTTCTGGGAGCACGTAGACAGAACGTAGTTATAGTCCCGTTCTTTTCTTTCTATCCCCATCAAGAGAGAAAATCCATAGGAAAATACATGTGCTCTTCAGGTGGAAGACCATAAGAACAAATTAAAGGTGCTCTATAGAGAATATCATCATTATGGCTAATTCAGGTACGCTTTCGCATTTAGTTTATAACATGTTTACAGTATGAGATTATATATATATGTTTAATCATTAAGAAGAAGATCATATTTAATTATCAGTTTACCTAACAATGATATGATAAGAGATTTATCCTCATGCATGAAGAATTCAGATACTTGTACACTTTCATTTGAATAGTTAAGGTTTTCAGCAGTTACTGATAGTTTCTTTTGTTTCATCATGAATTTTTATTTTATGATTTTGAAAAATCAGGAACCGGTTGAGTCACTATTTTCAAAACCAAATTTCTTTTTGAATCAGTAAAAATAGGTGAAAATTGATGCGAAGTTGGTGCATTAATTAAACCGATTTGAGTAAGTTATTTAAAATAATTATAGTTTTAAAAATTTTAGTAGATAAAAAAAATTCATATTTACAAATTGATATAAATTATTTTATGAATTAGTTTTTTATAGCACATATAATTAGTCATTTATATAAATTGATATTTCACTTTCATATAATTTTATATTATCTTAATTTATCATTTATTTATTTTAATTTATTAATCAACGTATCTATTCTGATACTTTTTTTCTATTATATTAGATTGGATGTAAATTTGTTTTTATTAATAGATTTTATTGTAATTTAATCATTTTATTTCAAAATTTATGAAAAATATTAATTTTCATTATTTTCAATAAATGTATCAATTATTTTTAATAATTTTTTTATTAATTTAATATTCTCTTAATCTAAAAATAATTTATAATAACTTATTACCTTATTTTTCTGTAACAAATTTAATTTTAAAGCTAAGATATAATTAATAAAAACAACTAATATAATCTTAACTTTACAGTAATATATAAAATATTAATGAAATTTACAAGTAGAAAAACTGGTGAAAATGAAAAAGAGTATTAATTTACATAATTAAAATTATTTTGCAAGTTGAGAATTATAATGAAATTTTTAAAAATATTATAAAAATTATGATATTTTATTTATTCAATAATATTATTTATTTATTAAAATCGATACTAAATCAATACTTGAACCTGATCATTGTGATTTTAAAAATATTGAAATACTTTATATGAAGAACCATTATTATAAATGTAAGTGTTAGTCATATTTATATACATGCATCAAATTTAAATTAAATCATTATCATTGATAACAATTTTCATAGATTGAGAAGCTACATATATCAGAAAACTCTAATTAATTAATAGTCCATATACAACAAATATATTCTATGACAGAGCAATATCATATCTACAAAAATTCAAAATTATCAAAGGGTGCCAAAAAGTGTCTAATTCATCTAATTCAATGGTGAAAAAGCAAATAATGGAATAAAATATCTTGATGTTAATAAAAAACTTAATCTGTATCTATTTTTTAATTATGGTTTTTAAAGTTGGAAACACATTTGTTCTTAATATCTATAATTTAAATTTTGGACACAGATTAAAATAAATATTATTTTTAATAATTTTCTTAATATTATTCTTATTATTTAATTTTATTTTTCATTCAAAATCACTCTTAATTACCTTCTTTTTATGTAATAAATGTGATTAAAAAATAGATATAATAAATAAAAATAATTAATATAGTCTTAAATTTTATAAACAGTACAATTTTTTTTAAAAACTGACAATTAAAAAAGTTATATATGCAATTTAAAATTTGGATACCCAAATCTAGAAAATTATTAATTTTTTTAATAAATTTATAATTTTTTTAACAATACAGCTACAACTTTAATTTTCTCTAATTCAAAATAACTTATAATAAATTATCATCTTCTTTATCATAAATATAATTAAATATATAAATATATAATTGTTAAAAAATATCATTAATATAATATTAATGTTACAAATGATAGATAAATAGAAATGTTTTTTTTTCTACTTAATTGACAATTAGAAAAAAAAATTAGAGAGTGATATATATATATATATATATATATATATATATATATATATATTACAAATTATTTGAAACATAAAACATCATTAATATATTTTAAACTTTAAAGACAAAGTGTTAATAAAAACAAAATTTTGCAGACAAAAAAATTTGTTCTCTGTTTTACCATAAATGTAATTTTAGGTTCTTTTAGAATCATAATAAATATATTAATTTTTAGAACAAATTTGAAATATTATGTTTGTTTTCATTTTTTAAAATAAAAAAAATCGCACATATTACAGAGATAATATAATTTAAGTAATTAGTATTCTACCTAACTTATCATTATTATTAATATGAACTACATATAATTATAGAGTAACAACCAGATGTTAAATATTAACTAAAATTTAAATATCTTTACGATGAACATTTTTTTTTTAGATGTAAGAACAGAGTTAGTAGTCTCTCTTATTTAATTAATACGTCAATTTAATTCAGACAAAGAAAGTAACTAATTAAAAAAATTAATTAGTTTAAAAGTTTTTTAGCACTATTTCTAAAACTACAGCTATTATTTGAGATTACCAATAATCAAAAGCTAAGTAAAAGTAATAAAAAATAAAAATCTGGAAAGACATTAACATGATTAACACCGTTATGAGAATTCAAATCAACTTTTAATGTGGCAATAAAGAGAGAGAGAGGTGGTCGCACGTAAAAATATTCAAACTGGTTGGTTCCTCCTCATCAACTATAAAACCCTCATGCCTCCTCATTGTTTCAATCACTCCTTGCTTCAGTGTTACAATCACACTTTACATTAATCTTCACACAAGTAAAAATGGGTGAGGGAAGAGATATTGCTGCCATAACAATGGTAGTTTTTGGTGTGTTGTTTCCACTGACATGGTTGATGCAAGAACCTTTGTGGTTGGGATTGCAGATGGTTCGTGCTCAGAGGACATATGTTGGACATTTAACGCCAGTGTTTGGTCTAAGGACAAGGTCTTCCTGGCTGGTGATGTTCTTGGTTAGTATAATCATCTTACTTTTCTTGATATTGTGCAAAACATGTATTAATTTTGATAACAATATGCATATGCACATGCATGGTGAGATTTTGATGGATGATTGCTGAATACGTGCAGTATTCAATTACAAGCCTTCTGTGCACAACGTGGTGGCCGTGGACGAGGAAGGATACAAAACATGTAAGGCTTCGAAAAATGCAGTGGTTTACGAGACAGGACATGATCGGATTCAACTCCCCGAAGGAGGAGATAGTTTCTTCATTTCTACTGTTGCTAGTGACTGTCAAAGAGGCATGAGAATCGAAGCCTCTTATGTATAATTCTTTTCTTATCCTTCACAGTTGATAATTTCATCACCATCATCGTCATAATCATGTATATAAAGTTATCGTCTTTGTCTTTTCATTCTGTATAATATGATGTCTCAATTATAGATGTTTTTGGACCAAACAAAATGATAAAGATGAATAAACCTAATATTACAGACAGTAAAATGATTTTTGTTTTTTTAACTCTGAATATTTTTGAGAGCGCATCCATTGTAACATATCTCTTTTAAATTGTGATTTTAATTATATTATATTAACTATTTTTACAAATAACTTATTCTGGAAAATTCTTGTTTAATGAATAAATTATTATTCAGATGACCATTTTTCTAACAATATAAACAAAATCATTTAAAATTATTACGATAAATTTTTATATTTGAAATATTATTTGTTTTAAAATTTTATTATAATAATATTTTTTTAAATGTATTTGGATAGATTAATAAATAAATATATATATATATATATAAATTATCTTTAATCTTAAACTAATAAATCATATAACATATTAGCATTAAACAAAATCTTAATTAAACAAAATTAAAACAAATTAAATGCTGATAATTAAATATTTATCTGTTATACACATAATTATCATAATTCATTATTAATAAATTAACTACTTACCTAATTCATTACTGTACATAATTATCATAAAATTATATAACTGCTATTTTATCTCATAGAATCACAATTTAAAATAAAAACTTATTTTGAATATATAACAAAAATACTTGTGTGAAATTAAATAATATTTAAAGTTGGTCTCTGGAAATTAATTACAGAATCATTGATTAAAATAAAAAAATTAATTAATTCATGGAAGTGTTTACCTTTTACTCTATGTACTTATTTGGCATTTTCTTATTATTTCTAATTAAAGATATTTCATTTTGAAGATAATAAATTTATTTAATGCATAATATTGAATATAATTCATGACAAATATATTAAAAAAATTTAAATTCGATTATCAATACAATTATTATTTCGTGATATTTCATAATTTGTTTTGAAAAAAAATACAGAAATAATGAGGACATATTGTAAAATAGTATATATAATATTTTAAATAAAATATTAATTTTATTGAATTATAGAACTTACAGCATCACCAAAGAAGTCACAATATATGGTTTAATTGTTTTAAGGTAAAATATAATATGGTTGGAATAAAATTACATTAACAGGTCAGAAATGAAACTATTAAAAACAAGTTTAAAGAGTGTCATTAAGGAAAAAAATACTACCTTTATATCAACTTTATCTATTTATTATTTTAGAAATTATTTTTTTTAGTTATTTTCTGAATTTGACATTTTATTTAAAAAATATCATCTAGAATATAACAAAACAAGTTTAAAGAGTGTCATTAAGGAAAAAAAATACTACCTTTATATCCACTTTATCTATTTATTATTTTAGAAATTATTTTTTTAGTTATTTTCTGAATTTGACATTTTATTTAAAAAATATCATCTAGAATATAACAAAAAAATTTACAAAATTAATAGTACTTTTGCTATGATGTTTATTATATTTAAAATTTATTATAAAAATGACTAAAATAAGATATTTTATTTATTTTGAACATATAATTCTGTTGAAAATGTAATAAGTAAATATGTAATTTAAATATATAATATAATACAGGAAACATTTGAATCTATCATCCTCTCACCCAATATATAACAAATTGTTGTTCACAATATTATTTGTATCGGTATATATGATTCACCAATAACTAAAATAATTTGTTTTAATTAATTTTAATATTTACTAATAATTAATTAATAATATTCATTATTAATAATAGTAACAAATAAAAATATTTATTAAAAATTAATAATTTTGTTAACAGTTAATTAACAATTTTTTTAATAATTAACTAATAATATCATATAGTTAATCAACATTTTTATTCAAATCAATTCATACTTTTCTTAATAATTTTAACTAATTAATAATTTTGTTAAAATTTATTACTACATTTACTAATAATTTTATTACAATTAATTCATAGCTTTCTAAAACTAATCCATATTTTTATTAATAATCTGTTAATAAACAATTTATAAAAAATAGATAACTAAATCTATACAATTGAGTAAACATTTATATAAGATGAAGAATATATATATATATATATATATATATATATATATATATATATATATATATATATATATAATTATGGAGCTTGGTGGTCACGGCTAAAAAAATTAATGTTTTTATATATAATAATTAAATAAAAATATTTTTTAAATATTAATAAAATTATTTTTTTCATATTTTTACTTATCTTTATTCTTTCACACCATTACCTATTTTTTTTATCTTTTAAAATTTTATAATTTTTCTTCCACATTTCACTTTCTTACTTTCATTTTTTTTTTATCATACTCTATTTTTTACTTTTATATTTATACCTTTTTTTATTTATCATTTATTTATTTTCATATTCTATATCACTGTACAACATAAAAATTATATCCTTTTTTCTTTAATTTTTTCAAATTTTCTCTTTTCCAATTTCACTTTTGATAGTATAAAAGTTAACTTTTAATATTTTAATTTTTTATCTTTTGTTCATTTTGGCCAAAGACAAAAAAAAAATATTCGACAATTTTTGTAGTAAATAGATACCAGAAAGATTTTTTTTTCATTATTGTAACAAAATTAATATAGGTAATATAAGATTGGAGATCAACATTATTAATTATTAATTAGTAGAATAATTCAATTATAATAGAATTTAATAATAATATAATCAGTTTTATTTTGTTATTTATGTGTATAACATTTATAAGGAAACTTTAATTTTTAGGGATAGATTAGTGTATAGCTTTATTACCTATTTATACCTTTTTATTTTTTCAAAATCAGAAATATTTTTACATATAATATTGATATAAATTTTATTTGTTATAAATATATTAGTTGTTTTAGTATTTATGATATTTTATTTTGACGTTAAAAAATATAAAAATAAAATTTCATATTGAATTTTAGAGAGAATAAAACTACAAACTCATTTTTAAATAAAAAATAAATAAATGATAAAATAAACATAATTGTATTATAAATTAATAAAAACTAAAAAATTAAATATATATTCTTTGCTTAATATATTGATTTGATTTATTTTTACTCTTTTATAACATTATGCATGGGTCATATATTCTAAAAAAACGACGTTGATACAAAAAAGAATTGTTATAAAATTTAATTAAAATGTTATATAAAACATTATATTTATATTAATTAAATCTTAATATTAAGATTTATAATTTTTAATGATTTTATACAATATATTTATAATTTTATTATATATATATATATATATATATATATATATATATATATATATATATATATATATATATATATATATATATAAAATGAATTGTAACTGATGGAATGATGATTGCAAACTATTAAGTACTTCACAATATAATTGTTTATAAACCATGGTTTGATTGCAATGATTTTAGGATCTGCATAAGTAATATGCCAGAAAAAAGAAGAAGATTATATCAGACAGCATTGATTGCAATCTTCATGCCACCCTGACAGTGAAAAGGAAAACCACAGATGAAGTAATTAGTTCCTTTTTCAAGCTGAATCAGATCTTTTCCTGAAGTGTAAGGTTTTGATCCAATCGTAGGAATGCATGTGTTGTATCCAAACTCCTCCACTTTCAACACATCATGAGACATACAATCATAACGAAATTCTGCACATTTAACATCAAACAATAATCAATATATAAATCACAAACCTAAATAATGTGTATGACTAAGAAGCAAGGGTATATGATGATACGAACCAAGTATATCACCAGCCTTAAACTGCTTTCCATTAGGCCAGTTAGTGACATTGAAGGTCCAGCCACCTTCATCTCCAACCAGAAAGGTGGTTCCATGAACCATCTCTGAGTAAACCACCAACATACACAACAGCATCATTGCTGCACCATTTCCTCTTCTTTCACTCATTTTTTGTTCTTCTGTTAATAACACCACTTAATTCAGAATGTGATCAAATCAGATATCCAAGAAAGGGTTTTATAGCTGATGAAACTCTTGTAATTTACTAAACGAATATGGAAAAGAAAATGTTTCCTAATTCTATAGTCAAATTATTTTTTGACTCTATCAATTAAAAGCACATTTAAATCATTTTTAAATTAAGGATCAATTTTATATAAATTTTGGGAGAAGGTATATATGTATGAAAAACTCCTATTTGTTATTATTATTATTATTATTATTATTATTATTATCATTATTTAACACAATTGCATATTTAAAGATCGAATATTTATAACACGAATAAAATTCAACAAGTCCATGTCGATTAGTTTATATGCATATATGCATTTTGTGCTAATATATAAAATTTTTTTAATGACATTAAGTATTTTTAAATAAATGGTATATCGTTTAAATTTTAATAATATTAACTACATATAAAATTAATAAAAATAGAAGAAAATATATACGTTAATGTCAATTGATCATAAAAATATCGGATGAATCGGTGTAATTTTAGTTGTCATAAATATCATATATGTTGTCAAATATAAATTTAAATATAATTCACATTATTAGCATTCCAGAATAAAGTTGAAAAAAAAGTCAATTGTTTATGGGGATAGAATATAATAAAAATATACCATATCAAATGGCAATAAATATTAAATAATATTTTAAAGAGAAATTTCTTTTAAAATATTTCTTTTAAATAAATCTTATCAAACGTTTATTACAAACTATAATACCATAAATAATTTAGTCAATGGTACTAATTCTAATGATAATTCATGTTAATTAATTAAAAAAATTATTATTATTATTATTATTTATTATCGTTGTTAATATATATATATATATATATATATATATATATATATATATAATATGGTCTTCGAGTTTTAATATATTCGTATAATAGATTGCTCGAGAATAATTTGAGTGAAAAAAACTGTTCTTGGATAAATCTAATTCGGTTCATTTAACTTGTTACTTAGATTGAATTTATTTTTTGTTAGTAGGGGAGGAGCAAGTTGAAATAAGTTAACTAATTTTAAACATTATATTTGATTCCAACAAATTAACTATTTTTAAATATTATATAGTGAAATCTTATATTTTATTTCAATAAATTAACCTTTCTAAATAACCAAGAACTTGGACAAATATCTTTACAAAGATTTTTGGAATTGGACAAAAAACTTTATAAAAGACATTTCTAACAAGAAAACAAGAAAAAAAATAAATTAAATGAAAACTAATTTACAGACAAATTAAAAAAAAAAAGTTCTATAAAATTATATAAGTATTTATGAATTAGTGCGCGCAGAAAATTTTCATGCAAATAAGTCCTAAATTTTAAATTCGAAAAACACAAGATCGATGCATGGGACATAGAGTTCCTTCAGATTTTATTTCTGGGATTAATTAAACGAGTTCAAATTCAACAAAACAAGTACATCACATAACTAGAGTGCTCTTTAGATCTTCATCTGCTTATCTCTTAGCCTTAGAAATGGAAGTTTCCAAAGCCACATTGATGCGCGCACTATTTCACCGATATTGGCTTGCGAGTTGACCCTCCTTCACAATGTAGTTCTGCTCAGGAAAGTCTTCACCCCTGAAGTGCCTATCAAGCATGTCTTTCACACCAGCAGCATAACGTAACTGAACAAGTTTGATTTATTATTAATTAGTGTTACCCCAAGTGAAAGAACTCAGGCACAAAAGGGTAAGGTAATGATATGGAGAAAAGTTAACATACCTGTGCATCTATGGTGGTGCCAGAAATATGAGGAGTCATGGCATGGTTTGGCATGCTGCGCCATGGATGATCCTTTGGAGCTGGTTGTGGGAACCAAACATCACCACTATAACCTATAGAAATAAGAGATTTAAAATGGGGGTGAAAAGTTTAATCAGCAATGAAAATTCAACAAGGAATCGTAACAAATCACAAACTGAATTATTTGCTTCTCAGATAATATTGCCATGAACAACTATCCCCAAAACACAACCACTTGATTATACATATGCACATAAACTTGTGAATCATGAATGTGTTAGAATATAATCAGTTGATCTAGATCCTTATCTCCTATTTATTTCAGAGAAACCAAGCCCAAAAACTTAAAGAGAGTTTGGTGAAAGCACGTAAGTGACATTAATATCTTACAAAAATTATGGTATGACATTACTTTAATACTAGTTTCATGTTTTGCTAATGAAAATAATTTTTTTGTGAGCTGATGTTATAATTACCTGCGACGTGACCATTTGAGCAAGCATCAGCAACTGCTTGGGTGTCCATAATTGCCCCTCGAGCATTGTTAACAATCAAGACACCTTTCTTGCACTTTGAAATTTTCTCTTTGTCAAACAATCCCCTGCATCAAGAAAATAATTAGTTAGTACTCATCATCATTGGAAAAGACTCAAAGAATATGAATTAGTTCCTTGTGATATCATAGCTTTGGAATATAATAAATGTCTTTAGATTTCAAGTGTGAAATGATTTTTTTTTTTTAATTGAGTGAGATATTAAAAGTATACCTTGTCTGCTCAGTGAGAGGTGTGTTGATAACAATTACATCACACTTTGGAAGCATTGCATCAAGTTCCTCCTCAAACTTTGCTCCAATCTCTTTCTCCAATTCAGGGTCCATCCTAAGTCGATCAAAATACAGAAGATTACAGTTAAAAGGTTTCAACCTTTGAAGTAAAAGCTTCCCAATTCGTCCGGCGCCAACCGTTCCCACTGTCTTGCCTTCAAGATCATAAGCTCTGTGAGCAATGCCAGCAACATTCCATTCCCCATTAACAGCCTGATGGTACCCTGGAAGAAAATTCCTGATTAGGATGAGGATTCTCAAAAGTTCATCCTCCGCTACCGATACCACATTGCTTCCTGTGACTTCTGCCACAGTTATACCAGCTGCAGCTGCAGCTTTGAGATCAATGTGATCAGAACCAATGCCAGCAGTCAAAAGCAGCTCCAAATTTTTGGCTTTCTTTATTCTTTCAGCAGTGACATAGGCAGGGTGAAATGGAGTGGATATGATGACATGTGCATCAGAAAGATTTCTCTCAAGTTCTGCAGCAGGACAAACAACAAATAACCATAAGTTTAATCCATTACAAACTCGAAGAGAAAACTAGATTTACCTTCCATGATATTATGTGTTGATTATCGTGATGTTTCAGAGAAATTATGAGACCTACCGATCTTCAGGTAATACTTAACAACATTTCTTAATTAACAAATAAAAAAAATAATTAATAACATGTTGTACGGAAATTGGAGCATTAATCCTTGTTTGGACCATTCAGTAATTTCTCCTAGTTATATAAACTTGAATAGAGTTAGTAAGTTATTAACCAGAATCTGGTCCTTCTTTGTCATCAGTGACAATGTACTGATGACCCTGTGATTCAAGCCACTCGCGAATACCCAATGCTCCTTCAACACACCCCACAAAATTAGGATTCAGTTTCGCATACTCATTCCCTTTGTAGAACACCCCCACAATCTTCTTGCTTTCACCTGGCACCTATTCTCAATCACAGGGAAAAAGGAAATCAATCACTCACAGTCATGCATAATAGATTTAAGGAATGCAACATTAATCACGGTCTTGCATAAGCAAAATTGATCATGGTCAACAGCATAAATAATTAAACATTCACTAACACACATTTGTTGAGGTTGTGTTGTCAAGTGAGGTTGCAATGGTTTTTTGTGTTGTTGTTGTGTTGTCGAGTGGGGTAACAATGGTTTCTTGTGATGTTTTTGTGTGGACTTGAACAAGGTATTCTTGAGGTTCTTGTGTGGAATCAGTCATGGTTGAGGGAGAAGTTTAAAGTAGGATAGCAATATAAATGATGTAACAGTGAACTAAGAAGAGATGCAGGAGAAGGAGTTGTTACTGGTGTGGGGTGTGTGTGCTAGAGAGGGAGTATTATAAAGAGAAAGTGGGGTTGCTTGTTGATGACACGTACATGTGACATGGTGTTTAGGCCACTACATGATGAACATGTTTCAGCTTGGCCCCAGCTAAATACATCATCAAAACTAAAATTGCTGAAATAATAAATAATAAAGACAAATGAGAATAATTTGTTTTTTAATACAAATTTATCTCTTTATTAAGATATAACATCATAGCGGATTCATCTCTTTATTGAATAAATCCCTACTTAATAATTTATAGTAAATTTTAAATCCCTTGGTTTGATACCTATTGTCTTTTAATGGAGAGGGAGGAATTAATTGTTGTTTATCACACCATCATGTGGACCCCTTTATGTCTTTATTTTCTGATTTTACTTACAATTTTCCAAAATATTACATTAGTTTTTATAGTATCCTATTTTTAAATATGTATAAGCAAAATAGAAAACAAAATTAAAAAAAAATGTTTCTTTATATAACTGAGAGAAAACAGATTAAAAATAATGATAAAGCTACTTTTTCTACATTCTTGCACTATAATAGGTTTGATAAACACTTATGATCTAATTTTCCTATAATATAATAGTTCTGATGAATAATTTATAATTCATAGACAAGAAAAACAAAAGGATAAAGACAGAAGATAATATATTTTTTTTAACGCTATCCCGGGATAAAGTTACTTTGGAAATGCACACAACAGAAAGGTTTTTGATAACAGAGGAACTCCACCACGTGTATTTCCGATGGAAAGAGAACGAATAAAAAACGCACATCACAGAGAGGAGAAACAAACTTTAGCATCAGGTGATCGTGACGGATCACGCATGCAAAGCACAGAAACAACAACAACAACTCCAGATCGCACCTCCAAGAGAACAAGAACAAAAATGCTGAAACAGTTCAATTAACAGAGAATCGCGTGTCCGAAAAATCGATTAAAAATTCGGTTTAAGCAACAATTAAAAAAAATATCCAGTAAAATTGAGAAAAAAAAATTGAAATCGATTTGAGGATTTAATTGTGCTTACGTGAATGTTTCTGCAGAAGGTGGAAGCAGTGGAGGAAAGCAGAGAGCGAACCGCAGAGGAAGCAGCACGTTTCATGGCCATGATGAAGTTTCTGTGTAAATTTGATTCATGAAACAAAATTAAAATTGAAATTAATTAATAGAATGAAGTAAAATAATTAATAAGAAGAAAAAAAATGGAAGATGAAAGAGTAGAAAGGTGAGGGCTTTGGAAGGGACGAAGCAGTCACCAGTTGCAGCCTTCGCTCTTGTGATTCTACGTCTGTTTCCTCTACGAATTTGTTTACTGTTACACACGTGTGCCTCTTTCCCTTCCCACGTGACACCTGTATGACCTCCGTGTTTGGCTTTATCCGTTTATTTCAGCTTCGTCAGGTGCATCTGTTTTCTAATTTTAAATTTTACAAATTTTAATTAGGTTTAATTATGTATTTAATATTGTAAGATGAGTGAATTAAAATTTGTTTTTAACAAAAGAAGAAAAAAAAATAATTATTTACTAAATATCAAGAAACACAGAAAAAAAATTGTAAAAAGAGCATAAGATCTTGAAAGATCTTATCTCTTAGGGAAAAAAATATATAAAGAATTTTAAAAAAATAAAATACGATAATAAAGATGCTGTTAGTTGAGTGTTTGCAATGATAATTTTATTTAACTTTTTGTTGGTGGAACCTGTTAGGATTGAGTGGTGGAGTTCATGTACATCCATGAATCCAAATTGGATTTGTTGTTCTTCCATTGGATGAGGGACGAGTCGCCACGAGGAAAAAAGTTGTGATGAAATATCATTTTTTTTATTATTATTAAAATTTAAAATTAGGTGAAAATATAAACATTTTTTTTTTGTAAATCCAGGTATGAGCATAGGATAGACTAAATATTCTTTTTTTGTCATATACTTTTTAATTAACAATTCGTGTTTTGATCTTTTATGTTTATAACTTTTTTATTCTTTAAATTTGAAAAAGCACAATTTTCTTCCTTATGCTTCATTAATTAGCATTGTTAATTTTTACATTTTAAAATAATTAATTTTAATATAATAACGTTTTAAAACTCATATAAGGTTAAATTAAGTATTTTCTATTATTTAATCTCTAAACGTTTTTCAAATTCCAATTTTAACAAAAGATTAATTGTTATCAGTTTCTATTTTATTTTTCTTTTTAGTTCTTACATTCAAACATTGTGATTAAATATTCATAAATACTACTATATTTAATTATATTTTCTAGATTTATCATACATTATATAATAGATATGATATTTCTTGTTATTATATAAGTCCATTTCACTTAATTATATATATTTCTTCATCAAATTTGGATCATATGTTTGTCAACCACACATTTCCTTGCATTACAAGTAGTACATTAATATTCAGAAAAACACAAGCTCCATGAATGGAATATGGAGTGTTTTTATTTCTTCATTAGATCAAGCATAAAAAAGAGTTAAAATTCAACAAAGGAAGCACTTTATATATTTAGAGTTCACTCTAGATCTTTATTTGCGCATCCGTTGGCCTGAAAAATGAAACTTTTTTTAAGACCACATTGATACTTCATCGATACTGACTTGCAAGTTGACCCTCCTTCACAATGTAGTTTTGTTCTGGAAATTCTTTGCCCCTAAAGTGCCTATCAAGCATGTCTTTGACCCCAGCAGCATAACGCAACTAAACATGTTTGATATAAATTTCATTAGTGTTACACAAAATGATACAACTTAAGTACTATAAAAACTCAAAATACCTGTGCATCTATGGTGGTGCCAGAAATATGAGGAGTCATGGCATGGTTTGGCATGTAGCGCCATGGATGATCCTTTGGAGCTGGTTGTACAGGCCAAACATCCCCACCGTAGCCTATACAAAGATCAATCGATGATGACAAAATCACTAGTTGGTATTATTTGAGATCGTCAGATGTTGAGAAAATCATCAGTTGAGGTTATGTGTACATGAACAATAACTAAGGTATGTGTAATAGTTTTCTCATCACCATTTCAAATTTTTTATTTTACTCCTGATGATAAGTGAAGTCTGTAAAATCTTTTGTTGGGTAAAATCATATACACGATTTTAATATGACTTCAAAATTAGTTTCATGTTTTGGTGGTGGAAACAATTTTCGGTGAATTGGTGTTAGAATTACCTGCAACATGGCCACTATTGCATGCATCGACAATTGCCTGAGTGTCCATAATAGCCCCTCGAGCATTGTTAACAATCACCACACCTTTCTTGCACTTGGCAATTCTGTTTTTGTCAAACAATCCTCTGAATCGCAGAAAAACTTTGGTCACAACTCATCAATAGAAAATGCTCAAAGAATCTGAACATTCATGCATAACTTATGTCTCAGACAATACAACAGAAATCATGTAATGTACATATACATTATATAAACTAATTACTTGTCATTACTATGTTGGATTACCTATGAATTAATTCTGTGTGATAAATATTGATTTTAATGCTTTGTTCATAATATTTTTGGAAAATATACATGGCTTGAAATTTCAAGTGTAAAATGAAATTTTTGATGGTTTGGGATATTAGAATTATACCTTGTTTGTTCAGTGAGAGGCATGTTGATAACAATTACATCACACTTTGGAAGCATTGCATCAAGTTCCTCCTCAAACTTTGCTCCAATCTCTTTCTCCAAATCAGGATTCATTCTAAGTCGGTCATAGTACAGAAGATTACAGTTAAAAGGTTTCAATCTCTGGAGTAAAAGCTTCCCAATTCGTCCAGCACCAACGGTTCCTATTGTCTTGCCTTCAAGATCATAAGCTCTATGTGCAATGCCAGCAACATTCCATTCCCCATTAATAGCCTGATGGTACCCTGGCAAGAAATTCCTCACTAGAACAAGGATTCTTAAGAGTTCATCCTCGGCAACCGACACCACATTGCTTCCTGTTATCTCTGCCACAGTTAAACCAGCAGCAGCTGCAGCTTTGAGATCAATATGATCAGAACCAATGCCAGCAGTCAAAAGCAGTTCCAGATTCTTGGCTTTCTTTATTCTTTCAGCAGTGACATAGGCAGGATGAAATGGAGTAGATATAAGGACATGCGTATCAGGAAGGTGCTTATCAAGTTCTGCAACATTTAACATGTCATTAGTTTAATATATGACCTAATTCATTGACCTAGTCTCAAGATGGACAACATTATACATAAAGTTGAATCAATTTAGCAAGACACTAACCAGAATTGGGCCCTTCTTTGTCATCAGTAACAATATACTGATGACCGAGTGATTCCAACCACTCACGAATACCCAATGCTCCTTCAACACATCCCACAAAATTGGGATTCGATTTTGCATACTCATTCCCTCTGTAGAACACTCCCACAATCTTCTTCTTTTCACCTTGGGCCTTTTCTCATTCATAAGGAAAAACCAAATTAATCACGGTCATGCATAATTCAAATTCGAAGAATTAAATATTAATCATGATATTGCCTAAGAAAATTTAACCATGGTCATCTGTATGAATAATCAAGTATTCAATTCAGCATTTTTGTTTTGCTGAAAAGTAAGAATGTGTCATTGATTAAACAATTATACAGAATTCTACGTAATAAAAATCTTTACTATTTTTTTTAGTGTAAGAATCGGTAAAAAGTAGATTTGATGTAAAATATTTTTAGCAAGAATAGAAACAGGAACAGATTGTTTAGAGTAATAGGAACATATTTTGCTCAAAACGAAAGAACATCTGAGAAGAGAAGCAAAGTTAGTACTATAATTGACACTGAGAAGCATTATTTTTTAAAAAAAATCAAATGTTAAATTGAGAGAGAAAAAAAAGATGGAGAAATTACACGATATGATTGGGTTTACTTACATGAAGGTTTCTGGAGAAGGCGGAGGAGGAGGAGGAAAGCAGAGAACGAACAGCAGAGGAAGCAGCACATTTCATGGCCATGATATGATGGAAACGGAATTCGCAAAAGCAAATCTGAAATTGTAAGATGGAGAATTGAGAGAAAGAGTGTGTGTGGCAAAATGGAGCAGGGAGTGAGGTTTATATAGAAGAAAATAAAGAAAATGATAGTGAGAATGAAAATATCCGCAGACACAACAGTACAAAAGATGAGAGCATACGTACCTAGGTAGAGCAACTGGGGAAGGAATGATCCATCGCAGACTTCAATCAGAGAAAAATTGAATTGAATTTGGTTAGGTTTAGTTTTTAATATTTTTTATTAAACTAAAAATATATTTATTAATATATTTTTCCCATTTTATCTTAATTATTATTTTGAGTATTATTTTAATATCAACGTGATATTATATTAATAATTAAATACTATTCAAAAAGTTACTTATTTCATTATATAATAAAAATCGAAATTAAAAGTAATTTATAAGTATTTTTTTACTTTCTTAATATACAAATATCTTTATTTAAACTTGACTTAAAAATAATTTATATATAATTTTTTATTAATTTAATAAAATATTTTTTAAATATAAAATCAATTTTAAAATCTCGTATTATTTTAAAGTTAAAATTAATAATAATTTATATATATATATATATATATATTAATAAATTGAAACATTTTTTTATTTAAAATAAAAAATATCCCGATTTAATTATAACATCATTATAGTTTTAATTTTGACCTAAATTAGATGTAAAAATGATAAATGTTCATTACAATTACATCATCAAATACAGACGAAGAAAAGTTTTGTCGTATGTGATTATTCTCATATGGCAACCAAGAAACATAATGAGTGATCTATCCAACTTTTAATTCTCACATGGTCAGCATGCTCTTTAAAGTCCTATGTCATGGTAACAACCAATTGGTCTCTGCCACTTGTAAAAGTACCATTGAAGCATCAGATTTTTTTTTTCATTTTTTCATGAAAAATGATACAATTTTTAATTGTAAACATTCAAGTATTATTTATATTTTATAGATACAAAAAATTTGTTAATGCCAAAATTTTGTAATGTAAGAAAGACAATTAACAAAGTCTAACAAAGATTTGTAGTTGTTATAAAACATTATGAATTTACGAAATGTGTATCGTGGATGAAGAGATATAAATTAAGAATGTTCGAAAAAAAAAAAAAGATAGTTCAGTACTTAATTTTTAATTTCTTTTTAGTGGACCCGTTACGATTCAGTGGTGTACACTGGTCCAATTTGAATTATTGTTCTTCCCTATAAAAACTCGACACAGTCGCCACAATCATAAGAATGTACGAGACATTAATTATTTTTGTGAGGAACTAATAGCTATATTTAACGTAGGTTATTAAATACTCTTTTTCTTAGAAATACATGATTTTTTTTGTTACGAAAAAAATTATTTTAAATATATATCTTTCATCTTAAACATCATATATTTTGAATCAATAAATTGTTAAAATAAGTATTTAGTTTTTTTTTTTAATTTTATATTAGAGAAAATTTTAAATTTTTTAAAAATAAATTAATAAAATACAAAATTTAAAATATACGTTTATTAAAAATGAGTTAATAACTTAAATAAGATTTTAATAAGTATATTAAGAACCTACAATTATTATTTTAGCGTTTTAAATTTAGGATTTAGTGATTAAATTTATATTTTTTAATTTGTGAAATCAAAATAAATTTTTTTAATTGGAAAAAAATAAAAACCTTTATTCGGATATTAGAAAGCAAAAACATAATTAATGAAATTATTTATATAATTTTTATATAGATGATAATTAGAAATTGTAGATTCTAAAATCAAACCCTCGCAGCACCTGCTGTCGGTGAGTTGTGTTACGTCATGTGACATCGTGATTGATTCCTGTATCACTTTTGGATATATTTTTATATTTCACTAATAATTGAGGAGATAAATTTAATTTTCTGATTGTGTAATATTTGTTTTTATAAAATTTTAATTGTTGATTTAAGATATATAATTATTAAGTAAAATATAAAATAAATAAATATAAAATATCATGAATTAAATTAAAAAAATTGACATAAAAATGTGACAAAAAGAGAATTTTATTTTTATATAATGTCCCATCAATAATCAGTTAACCTAATTTTAGTAGGACACATGTCAAAAGGAGATTTGGTTTGCTTCTGAACAGATTTTCAAGACCCATCAAATAACATCGTAGAAAAGGTAGGGTCAATTTTGTCTTTTCAAGTTATGAGGCTAACATCCTAGTGGATATGTCTTATCTTTTAAGTTATAGTGGTAACGGCAACCTCCTTTATTTCCTTCAATTTATTTTATATTTTAATCTGATTATATTACATTAATTTAACAATAACAAAAATTTTAAAAACCATACCATAAAAAAATCATTTTTTTTGAAAATGAATCTCATATTCTTTATATAATTTTTTATGTATTTTTTTCAATCTCAAAATATCTTTTAAAATTAAAATTATAATAAATTAAAATTTCAAAATAAATAATTATTAATAAATCTTAATAATATTATCTTAGATATTTTTATTTCTAACTACAACATTAACGTTACAATCCTATTCCCTGATCATCAATTAGAAATTATATTCCAGGTTCACGAATCCATATTTTATTATAATAAACTTTAATAATATTATTATAATATATAAGATCATAATATTATTATTCATAAAAAAAATAATATATAATAATTAACTTTTAAAAAGTTTTAATTCATAAAATTTTTTCATATAATAAAAATTATCATAACTTTCTTCTAGAATTGAAAAAAAATAAAAATCACTCTTATTAATATTTTAACAAATATTATAATAACTATTCTTAATTTTATTTTTTAAAAACAAAAAATGTCTTAAAATAAAAACTACCTTGCCATTCTTCTAGATTGTTCTCTCTCTAACAATTTAATTTCACTTCACATTAGGTGTGGGAAATAGACGTAGTTGGAGTTGACCCGTCATCAAAGTGGTCTACTACGTTATGTACTTAACGTTGTTATGTCTCTGTCTCTTTGTTTTTTGTTTTTTAAATTAAATTAAATTAAATCATTAAGAATTATATATTATAATTGAATTTGTTTTATATAATATTCGATTGCATAAAAGATAAAATTGTCTTCATATGTTTCAAAGACGCACACTCATGTTGCAATCAAATCTTTAATTTATGGGCTTTCGCTGGCCATTTTTACGAGCTTCAAAAAAAAAACTCGAGCCCAGCCCACTTTTTATAATAAAATATTATTTTAAAACAAAAATCTATAACATATTTTTAAAACTATAAAAATCAAATCATCAATTTTTTTCGAATTCAATATCTAAATTAAAAATAAAAAATTTGACATGATTTCGCCTATTGAAGCACTTTACACCATGAGAGTGCTTGTCCTATTATTTTCATATAACAAAAGATATGCTACTTGAGGCGAGCCTAGTTTGGGCTCTGATCCGTATAAGTGTGGGCTAAAATAGTAACATTTTTCGGGCCAGGAAGCCCAATACGAAAAAAAAAAAACAAAATGAAGGAGCGTTGCCTTCAGTCGCTCACAGTTACTGGCGACACCATGAGTGAAAAGAGCGAAAAAGAGTCGAATCGGCCGACGGCGGACGCGGCACCACCGTGTCCGACGGTGACTCAGCGGGACCAGTGGATGGTAGAATCACAGGTTTTTCAGATTTACCAACTTTTCGCCACCATTCCTCCCAACGCCCAAACCCTCATGTATGTCATTAACTGCAACATCTCTTCTATATTTTCTTCATTCTCCCTTTTCAATTTCGTTAACTCTGTTGAACTGTGTTATTATGTTTTCAAAAGCATACGTACATTAAGTAGAATGCGGAAATAGTTTTCCTGAAAGGGGCAGTTTCCTAACTATTAGGATTTCTAATATCTAGCTCCCTCAACCCCTTTTATTCGGTCAATACTGGACCGTTTATTTAACTACTCAGAAATTAACAAATAATCATTAAATGCAGAATAATTCAACTAACAATCCCTCCCTTAAACTAAAACTTGTAAGCTTTTAGTTTATTTCTGATGCAGCAATCATGCCTAGCTTGCTTCTGAGTTTCAAGAATTGCTCCGATTTGAGTGGCTTAGTCATTATATCTGCTATCTGATTCGAAGTGCTGCAGTAACTTAGCTTGATTCTCCCTTCTTTGACAAGATCCCTTAGGAAATGAAATCTAACATCGATATGTTTGCTTCTGTCATGAAAAACTGGATTTTCGGACAATTTAATGGCTGAATTGTTATCACACAAAATTAGAATGTGCTTTTGCTTTTCAAAACCAAGGGTTTCTAGAATTCTCATAATCCAGATGCATTGACATGCACAGGAAGATGTAGCTATGTATTCTGATTCTGTAGTAGACAGTGTCACTATAAGTTGTTTTTTAGATGACCAAGAGACTGCACCTCTTCCTAGGAAGAAAACAAATCCTGATGTACTCTTCCTATCATCTACATCACCTGCGTAATCGCTGTCAGTATAAGCCATTAGTGTTATACTTTCTCCTTTCTTGTAGAGTATGCCAAGATCCATGGTTCCTTTTAAATATCGTAGAACACGTTTGATAGCACTCCAGTGTGTTTCTGAAGGTTTTTCCATGAATCTACTAGTAAGACTGACCACATACATCAGATCAGGCCTGGTTGCAGTTAGATACATCAGACTACCAACTGTTTGCTTATAGATCGTGGCATCTGCTTTACGTCCTGTGTCGGTTCTGGAAAGTTTCATTCCTGGAACAATAAGATTCTGTACGACATTGCATTCTAGCATATTGAATCTCGCTAAGACTTCCTGAGCATATTTGCGTTGACACATAAAGATGCCAAGCGTATTCTGCAAAATTTCAATTCCCAGAAAATACCTCATCTTCCCCAAGTCGGTCATATCAAAAACTGACATCATAGAATCCTTGAACTCACTGCACATGTCTTTATCATTTCCAGTGTAAATCAAATCATCCACATAAA